GACTTGGTCCTACAGCAGGAAAAACCTAAAATAACATTATATTTACAGTCTATAGTTATTTCTCTCAATTTACGGGAGGATTTCACGGTAAACAAATGTTAGATAAATTCGACAAGCGTACGCACACCAAGTCCCTAACCTAACCAAAACATATTTTTATTTTTTCTCTTTATTCATTAAAACAAAAAAAAACAATATCTGAACTTGACGTAAAAAAATATAAATAAATAAAAACGTACAAGACAGAGATATACTGTAGCAAAGGTTTATTGTTAGCAAAGCACAGTATACACCTGTAATATAGAAGTTGTTATAGACGCGGCTGTATATTGTATAAGCTGTTTAGACGTGGATGACTTGGCTTAACTAGAAATTATTACAAACATTAAAAATAGTAAATTACATAACAAATTAAAATAAATAGGAAGACAAACAAATGGAAACAATATCCTAGTTCTGGTGATAAATGCTAATGTAACTTTCTGAAATCAAAGTGAACGATAATATATTCCTTATACACAAGTTTGAAAGCAACACTAAAATATTCTTTCTCTTTTTAACTTACGAAAAATAAATATAACAATGAAATACTTTAAACTAGATTGAAATGTTTAGTGTTTTTTGTAGAAATTTATTCGAGTAAACATAAAAACGAATGTATTTAATGTTTGACAACAAAATGTTCGCCAGGAGTTAAGAACACAGAGCCTTGGCGACAGAAGTGGCAAAACCATCAGTATTTTTTTTAAGCCGGTTTACGACCACTGAGATGAGACGGGATGAGACGTTGTGTGTGTGTGTGTGGGTTCAACTGCAGTAAGTGATACATCTTGGCTCGAGTAATACATTATATTAGTGCGTATCATCTGAGCTTCAGTGATACACAAGTTACGACTCAGATAAAAACTATATACAGTATTCTATTTCATCTTAAGTGAACCGTATTTAAAATAACTTTAAATATTAATCATTTACTTAGATGGCAACGACTGATAAATAATTACAAGTAACTATGCCTCGTTACACTACTAGGTCAGGGATATGTGTTTGAATTAGTAAAGAATGCCCTCACCCGTTCCGTTGTCGGGTGAGAGCAGCTAGCGGCCGTCGTGGGAGGTAGGGGTTCCTCAGGCTGCTACGTTCGTTTGTCCGGTTCTTGTTTAAGTCTCCGGGTGATTTATCAGGCGTATTTTACGTCGGGAATTAAAACTTAGACATTACAGTGACCAAGCACTAGTTTTATGGCTTGAGGAACGGGCATTTAAGATTACTTTTCCTAGTTACTGTAAGATGTTGAGTTACACATATTATACAGTGAACAGATTACCCATAGTAATAATAAATACGTTGGTATCGCGTTGGTTGAAGTATACTTTGCTGGGGCTATTGACTAGTGATACTTTAGTGCAACAGTTTACAATACCAGTGTTATATATTAGTGTTGTAAATCTGGGTTACAATACCAGTGTTACAATAGCACAAACCAACAATAACTGCGAGAGAATAAGTTATAAAACCGAAGCATGAAAATGGAGGGAGAGAGGGGAGGAGAGGAGGGAGAGAAAGAGAGAGAGGCGGAGGAGAGGAGGGAGAGAAAGAGAGAGAGGGGAAGGAGAGGAGGGAGAGAGGAGGAGAGAAAGAGAGAGGTGGAGGAGTGGAGGGAGAGAAAGAGAGAGAGGGGGAAGAGAGGAGGGAGAGAAAAAGAGAGAGGTGGAGGAGAGGAGGGAGAGAAAGAGAGAGAGGTGGAGGAGAGGAGGGAGAGAAAGAGAGAGAGGTGGAGGAGAGGAGGGAGAGAAAGAGAGAGAGGTGGAGGAGAGGAGGGAGAAAATGGAAAAGAGATGGAGGAGAGCACCAAACAAAACACTTGAGATATATTAAGTCTGGGAGTGACGACAGTAAAAAAAAATAAAGATCAATTGAAGTTACTCATCAGTAATAACACCTACCAGTTTCACTCTCTCCCTTCACTGATGACAACAGGCCTCACTTAATCTTCCCGTTGTGACAGGCAATGGACAGTATGAACGAGCTAGTGTGTATGTGTATATAGCAAAGTGTTTTAAGAATATCAACATCCTATTTCAACTCCCCATCTCTTACTATTTTCCCTATTTCGTTTTGACACTATTCCAATACTACTACTTGTTTCCTTTTGTTTTTGTTTCATTTCCTTCTGTTATTTTGTTTTTTCTCACCCAATCTAGTGATCTCTAGAGTAGATATTTTTTGTTTTATTTAACCTTTTCGTCTCTTTCATCATCATCAACCCTTTCATCTCCCTTTTATTCAGTTCATTTCTATTCTGTTGTCCCAAGATTGTAATATCACAATAATAATAATAATAATAATAATAATAACAACCTTAGTTATAATAATAGTAATGAGAGTTGTCAAGCCAATAGTAATAAAAGTAGTAATAGTAACAGTAGTAGTAGTAAACCAGAACACTATCCGCCTTGTGTGTCAAACCCGCTTACAGATGGAGCTCCGGTTAACAGTCGTATACTCAGCAGCATCGTTCAGAGATTTGCCGTAACCTTACACCAAACTACCATGCCATTAACCAGAGAGTCATAATAATTATAGTCATTATAATCGACGTTAACCCTGAAAATTATCATCATTATGGTAAGTATATAAACATCATATCCATCAAGGCAGTCATTAAACTCCTGTCTTTATCATCGCCAATAAGCCTTCAGTGAGAGGAGTCATAATAAAGTCACGAAGCCAGACACGATTCTGGTCAGTATAGCCTCGGCGGCGACAGAGAGCAAATCTACAGTGATCTACGGCGAGAGATGGTTTAGTACTGATGTTGGTGATCAAGTGAAAACAAAAGTTGGATACGGGGACATTGGTTCACGTAAGTCTATTGAGAGAGCGACACACACACACACACACACACACACACACACACACACACTTTTAGCTGAACAAATGCACAGTGGGCGGATGCAAACGCTCGGATATTTAGAGACTGACCTCAACACAAAGGCTTAACAGCAGGAACACAGGGATGAGGACATCGTCGACGACACACTGACGACAACAAAAGAATAATGACAATATTTTAGTTTTGTTCTCTTTGAAACTGATCCAGTTAATAAGATGAAAAGTGTGCGAGTGAGGGACTGTGTGTGTGTGTGTGTGTGTGTGTGTGTGTGTGTGTGTGTGTGTGTGTGTGTGTGAAGGTAGGAACTTTAATGATGATTGATTAACTCTGAAAAAAAAAAAACTAAATGCTCCTAAATCCGACTCGCACTATATTGCAAGTGAGACACAGTCAGTCAGAAATAGAGCAGTATTGTTTGGTGTGTAAAGTGATACCTAAACCCCCCCCCCACACACACACCCACACACACACACACACACACGAGAGGGAAGAAGAGGAGGAGGTACCAAGGCATTACCACCAACGTACACTAAACTGGGCATCAACTGAGACTGACAGCGCAAGACAAATCTAAGTCAATTTCTCACTCACAAGTGCATCCCAAAACACTGAGATCCCCAGGTCTAATTATCATGGTTTATGAGGCAAGAATCGGTTCAATAACAAATTGGTACGAGTCAAGACTGAATAATGAAGAGTTAGTGACTTGATAATAGTGATGTGCTGAGAATGATAGTGACGGGGTGTGTGATGATAGTGACGGGTGTGTGATGATAGTGACGGGGTGAAGATGGCAGGGATCAGGTGGTACGTGATTGCGGGCTGGACGCTTTCTGGCTAGTGTGTGCTTGTGTGCCAAGATTTATTAGCGTCGGGCTGGTTATTCTACTACTACCACTCCCACCTACAACACAGTCCCATTCACCCAAGACGCATCATAACCACCACTACCACCTGTACACTTAACTCACCTGTTCGTTCACCTGACAGACACAGTACCATACACCACCTCGTATTTAAATGTAATATGTATGTGTGTGTGATTACTTATACCGCAAAAAAGTACCTACATGAGTAGCTACCGCAAGAAAGCATCGGTACGTCACAAAAATGTTTACTACACGCTCTTTCCTTCAGCATGACCAATTTTGACATTAATTCTCACATTAGTTAAATGAGAAACGTTACACCTGTGTATAACTCATGACAAAACTGTTATATATACCAACGGGTAATATCCATAGCGTGTGGTATATCTGATTATATGGCTTGATATATCCGTATGATTCATTATAGTTATGTGTATAAATCCCCTAACACCAGATATGTTCAAAACTAATACATATAAATACGTCAAAAATGTTCTCTCCTTTACAATATGATCTATACTGTTACAAAGACAACAATGGGAGGAAAGAATATAATTTTTCGTTTATGTAAAGATCAAAACATCGCTTTCATATTAAAAATAAATAAAAATAGCCAGAAATCTCGCTCACACAGATACACACAACAGAAACTTTCATTCCACGCACATGAATGAGGGTATCTTATCATTAACGACTAAAATGTAAAAAAACAGAAGCTAAACAATCATAACAGTAACAACAGTAAGTAATCTACACCTACATGTAACTATACGGTTCCGTTGACAGACCAAAACGATGGCAGTTATGACTTTGTATTAACGTAACAATGGCGATTGCAACCTGACACCGAAAATTACCATAATTTTTCCACCCGACAAAGAAGCTAATTGTGGCCACATCTCAAAGGCTGGAGGGCGAACATGCCATCATTGTGTCACCCGGCCCTTCACTCTAATACACTCGTTTCCCGAACATACACACATGCACACGCTACTGCTTATGATCTGTCATATTTTGAAGTAAGAGAGACAGCAGTTCGTGTGTGTACAGTTAATATTACTTATCTCTGAGCTTACGTATGTTTGTATTATCTTGTCAGCCCAAGAAGTGACATTACTCACGTCGCTTGTACCGTACGTTCGTGGCTCTGATTTGAACTAGTGGGTAGAATCGTGTCGTTTATTTGTTTTTAAAAGATATAAAAAACCAAAACAGGAAAAGGTAGTTAGACTTACCTGCAAGGATGAGGTTGAGAAGAGCGGAGATGACGGCGTTAGAACCATTGCGCAAGACACAGCGATACTGTCCCGCGTCACCCTTCGTTACCTGTAGGAAACTTGGTATCAGTAAGGTCGGTAGGTTCTTCAGTATCAAATCTTAATTATTCTCAGGTTAGGTTAAGTGAGGTGAAGTTAGGTGAAGTTAGGTTAGGTCTCACAGTTCGAAGTCTTCAATATCAACTAATTATTCTCAGGTATTAAAAATCTTGAACTTCAGGGCCATTATTAACACATGTTCATTGTAACCAGCCTTAATTAACACCATTTCTCATTATCCTCATTACCTATACTCTTGTCATTATCAATCTTCTAATCTCACTTTTACTATCCTCATTGCTTACTTCATCCTACCCACCCTTACTTCAGCCTCCTTAGGTCATTATCCTCACTATCCTCATTCTTCTCTTTAGAATTTGTTACCTACTCTCTGTGTCAATGTCCTGTCAGAGGTCGCCATTCTTACACACACTTTTGCCTCTTCGGTTATTATTATTATTATTTTTGAAGATGTTTTACTTTATCACAACGTTGCCTGTTCTTACATGTCGTGATGTAATGTATTCTCTTCTTCGCTATCCCAGTATTACTCACACGACTCACAAACTACTTACAAACAACTTACAAACTACTCACAAAACATCTATTCTCATAATGTCTCTTTAATAACTCACGATTTTACTTATCATCTTGTCACTCGCTATTTTATATAACTTCATTATTATATTATCTTTTATATTACTCTATTCCTTATTACGAGAATTATTATTATTATTATTATTATTATTATTATTATTATTATTTGGCTATAAATCAGTTTCCTTAATATAAACTCTACAGTATAAAACTCTACATACATACATACATACATACATACATACATACATGTCGTTACAATACTCACTTTCCTTTTATAAATATTATCTATCTCCCTCCCACAAGCGTCCCAAAGATAAAAAACAAACTGTATTTATGAACTCAGTAGATATCATCCCAATCAATTATATACTACTGTGAATAGCATTAGAGAGAGAGAGAGAGAGAGAGAGAGAGAGAGAGAGAGAGAGAGGAGCAACGTGGATTATTTTTTCTTAATAAAATTGGTGGAGGGGGAGAATATACAACTGCCTTGTCAAATGTATTCACTGAAAAATCCTGTTGTCAAAGTGTCAGTGTCAGAGGCAATATGATAGAAAGGTGAGAGGCATTATGGGAGGGTGAGAGGTAGTATGATGAAAGGGTGAGAGGCATTATGGGAGGGTGAGAGGCATTATGGGAGGGTGCGAGGAAATGAGGTGACAAAGTTGATCTGAGTAAAACTTAAAGTAAGAATGACCCCTAAACCCTCAGTAAGAGTGAGTGTTAAAAGTCTTAGTATTATGTAAGGATGACGTGATGGCGTAGTTAAATTATGTTCAGCTGTGTTAGGTCACGCCTTGTTAACTGCGCATTATGTGTGTTGTATCAGTGCCATTGTAGGAGGTCTTGTTAGGTACACCCCCTCTCTCACTCAGTTTAGGTGTGTGTGTGTGTGTGTGTGTGTGTGTCCCTAAAGACCATCTAGAACTACACGCACCAGAAAGGAAAGGAAAGAAGAAAAAAAAAGATAATAATGGAACTAGAACGATAAAAATAAAGAACTATTTGGAGAAGTCAAGGTCGACGCCAAGCTGTTAAATGTTTTAGAAATGTCAAGAGCACTTTACACTGTCTCTACTGATTGAATGGACTGCTCTCTCTGTGTGTGTGTGTGTGTGTGTGTGTGAGTGTGTCAGGAAGGAAGGAAAAATAAAACAAACACCAACAATTGAACGCCCACTACAGAAGCCATACTGTTGAATGTTTCAGTAAATTGTCATATTGAAATTGTATAAATACGTATCTATTGATAACTGTTTTTAAATAAAGATGTTTGATTTAGTATCGTACTTTCTGATACTGTATGAACGATGTCAGTCTACTTAGAGAGGGGAGAGAAGGTCTGAGGTATCAGGTTAATCTGAACGGTTTAGGTAGAAGAGGAGAAAGTTGTGTTGTGCATCATTTGAGAACAATTATGGGAGAGAACCTCATTCAAACATAGAGACTTGGTAATTGTTTTGGTGTGTTTATAAATTTCTCAGGATTTTTAAATTTTGGGGGGTTTCTGGAAGGCGAAATTCCAGTCTACTCTAGATTTCAAGGGAGAGCCACATTACCCATTGCCCCTTCTCGTGTACAGCGGAGTTAGGAGACAAAACAGTTGAAAAAAAAGATGAATGTGATATCACAAAAAAAACAACAACAACCGATTCAGCTGAGAAAACGAATAGAAAAATGACGATTGACATCAGATCAGAACAGCTGTATGGATATGATAGATATGTATAGTGTATATAAATATAGCCATTTGTCTCTTTTATAACAATGCAAGCGAAGGAATTGTTATTTCATTTAGAGTAACAATTATACTTTGAGATTTACTTTTTTATTTAGTTTTTACAATTAATTAAATCTTTCATCCACTCTTTTATCACTGTAGTTGACTGTAGTAGAGGAAAGACTTATATTCCTCCCCTTCCATATTCAATTAAATCAGCGCAAGTAGAACAAATCAACCGCACGAGTAGAATAAATCAATCGTGTACTCTTGAGTTTTGGGTGTTGATGTCATCTGAGTATTGTTCAGTATCAGTTGTGGGATGATGATGAGGCAGTATAAGAGACTAGACAGTGTAAAGGAGTATTAGAAGATGGGAATTTATAACAGGAGAGAGGTGAGGTATAAATCTATATCTATCATCATCTATCTATCTATCTATCTATCTTAATTCATAACCTAACCTAACACACTGAGAGAGTAAAATGATCTCACCTGAACACAAGCGTAGTGAAGATAAATGTAAAGTATAAGACAAAAGGATATGACAAAATTAAACTAAATAAGATAATTGGAAGGAAGTGGGTTACATAAATCACAATGACTGGTGTTTATGTCCGTCCTAACGACTAAAGAGATGAAAAACTCTACTGGTATAATTTTTTCCTCATACACGAATTCGTTCACAGGTCGTTGTTAGTGAGGTGTTAATGTCTCTTGTTTTAAAGGGGGTGTAGAGGTGGGAGGAGAGAGGAAGGGTTTAATAGTGGTTATACCAGATTCTATATATGGAGGTAACAGTTTGTTGATGGTTTAAGTCGGATAGCAAGATGAGTTTATGACATTGGTGGTGTTATTACATGCACATACTTAGACACACACACACCTACGCACCTTAAAAGTTAATCGTAGTTTAGGAAAGACACTTAAAGGGTGAAATATATGGATAGTCAAGGTGGAGGTTTATCAGTGTGTTTATAAGGTGATGGGGCTCCAAGTGCTCTGCAGGAGGGTGGCGAGAGCGTCTTATTCTTCTTCTTCACCTTCGTCACCCTCTTCTGTAGCTACACACGTCTCTCGTTCTGATTATTTCTCTCGTTCGGTCTTATTACGTCTATCTTGTTCTGTCTCATCACCTGTTTCGTTATGTCTCATTTCCTCGTTCTCCGTTTCTCTGTCTCTGTCTCATAAACCTCACTCGTTATTATTCTCTTATCACTTCGTTCTCAGTCTCTCTATTTTCTCTCATTCTATCTCATTATCTCACCACTTCATTCTCTTCTCTCCCCACCCCCTTCCCCCTTCCTCCTATTCATACATCACCTCCCATCATCCACAAAAAAAAATAATAATAAAATAATAAAAAAATAATCACAAGAGATGAAAGCTTAAGCCGGGCAGTGAAGCGGATAGTGTTGACAGGGTTTACAGGAAGTAATAAGAAAAATAAGCGAACACAAGGGATCAGGTTTTTAAGAGTTATGTAGCACAATGTCAACTTGGCTGTGATACGCTGATTTTTTCTTAATTAGATGACCAATCAAAATGAAGTAAAAATGTAAGTGTGTGTGTGTGTGGGAGGGTTTGTGTGTGTATGGGAGGGTTTGTGTGTGTGTGGGAGGGTTTGTGTGTGTATGGGAGGGTTTGTGTGTGTATGGAGGGTTTGTGTGTATGGGAGGGTTTGTGTGTGTATGGGAGGGTTTGTGTGTGTATGGAGTGGGGGTGTGTTTGTGATAGGCATATGTATAATCAAGAGAGTAAAAGACAGTATTATATTACAGAATATTAGGTTAAGTTAGGTTAGGTTATGTTATGTTATGTTAGGTTCTGGTGGCAGGCTAGAGTGACGGAGGGTCTCATAATATGTTGAGACGGTGGTAAGTAGTGAAGATGTCTAACTGAGTCGCGTTTTATATGCTAGGTTTTATAATATATGTAAACAGTTGAATATGTTCCTAGGATATTAGCAAGGACAAGTGCCTAACCTATCCTAACTTCACCTCACCTAATCCATATCGATATGATAAACTAAACACCTCACACTTTAACACACTACTGACTCATACCAACATACATTACTACGATGAAGTATAACCATTTAGTGATCAATGAAGTAAACTTATTAATGAGTAGACAAACCTCAGTAATTAGTAACGTTCCATTGGGCAAGACGTAGCGACGATGTTCATTGACAACGTGGCCGTCATTGGTCCAGGTGACGTTAGGGACGCCCGACTCTGTTTTGAGTGGCTGACAGGGGAGACTCAGCTCCGCCCCAACACCGTGAACGTTTCTGTCGGGGGCAATACTTCGTACCCGAGACCCAACCGAGGACCCGATCCTGTGGACAGACAGACAGACAGACAGATTAGCTTCAAGAGATAACACCATTTTAACATTGATGATGATAATAAAGATAATTATGTCAAGTACGAAGGAAATATAAAGAAATAGGAAAAAAATGGTGAAAAATATTAGTATATAATATTTGTTTATATATAAGCCATCAACGTCTTCCTTCACTCATTTCTCCTCAACTTACTCCACTGTATGACACACACACACACACACACACACACACACACACACACACACACACACACACACACACACTCTCTCGTCTCGAATCCGCTTTCAACACACTACCGGGTATATTTCTTAGATGGTGTGTGTGTGTGTGTGTGTGTGTGGTATGTGTGTGTGTGTGTGTGCGCTAATGTGTGTGTGCGCTAATGTGTGTATTTATAATCTATGCATGTCTCTTTGTATGTGTGTGTGTGTGTGTGTTTGTTTTGAATATCTGTGTATGCCTAAGCCTGTGTGTGTGTTTGTGTGTGCTAATGTATGTATTTATAATCTATGTATTCTCTTATGTGTGTGTGTGTGTGTGTGTGTGTGTGTGTGTGTGTGTGTGTGTGTGTGTGTGTTATTTATACAACTCTATTTCTGTATGTTTATTTTCAAGCAGAATATTTTTGTATGCTTGCGGGTCTATTTATACAACTATTTGTGTGCGTATGTGTATATTTTTGTATCTATGTAAGTCTATTTATGTGCACATGTGTTTGGCTATTAAGTGTATGAGTGTATGTGTGTGTATGCGTATATGTAAGTGAGTTTGTGAGAAACTGGTGGGCAGAGCACGAGCGGGTTGAACAGTGGCGGGTAGAACAGTGGCGGGCAGGACACCAGACATCAAAGTTTCGGGTGATGTTTGGTAAATTACACATCTCATACACTATTTATATACTGTATATATTTTTTTTTACTGTTATTCATGATTAAATAACTGATGTAGATAATCCTCAGGGCGTGAATAATATGTACACTCATGCATAGCCTAACACAGCCACAGTAAATTGAAAAATAACAATGATCTTTCGCCCAACGGCACATATATAAACGTTTAATATGAATTGTGGCTGTATACATACTTACATATATACATAGAGCCTACATACATACTGTACCTACATACATACATACATACATACGGGTGTTAAATAGCTTATGATACCCTGAACCGAAATTTAGATCTAAAAATAATGAGAAATACGTAATAAAAACAAATTAGTTTCAGTGGTTTCAGGAAAAAAAATATGAAATGAATCTAGATCAGAAACTCACTGACTTAAGCGATTATTCCAACAGTGACATTACTGAGAAGTGAACTGATCTGGCAGCTAAACAACAACAAAAAACTGAGTCATACTTGTCCCAAATTCTGTTGAGGTTGACCATATTTGTGTTGATGGCTTTAAAACTCGTTAGAATCCTTGAAAAGTCTTAAGAATACAAAAACTAGTTACTGTCTTGATTTCTATATACCTGTACAGTATTAAAAAACCCGGAAAATATGTACAAAATATTTAAATAGATTAAAATATATGACAGTACAATTTTTAAGGAAAGGAGGAAAATAAACTTCTCGCGGTAACAGATGAAGAACCAAACATGAAACAAACAAACAAACACCTTATTTAACTCATATATTAGCTGTGATGTTTGTATTTATGTCTGATTAAAAATTCATACTAAACATCCATCTTTGTGCTACAGAAAATATTAGCTCTTTTTTGTCCCGGTTTCTTTTGGCTGTATTAGATAATGCATGACTTTGCATTACTCATGCGTTTATAACCTAACTCGATCAGCCATGAAAGTGGTCCTTCAACTATGATGATGACTGACGCTAAACATAATGTAAGAGAATAACCCCCCCAAAAAATATTAATATTAAAGATTAAGTGTATTGTAAAAGACGTTAATACAGACTTAAGCAAATGAGTTTAAGAATTATGTTAAAATTGTATTCGTTTATTATCATCCAACTCCCCCTAAAAATGTTTAATATAGCCAGGTTCTGTGAGATAGTTTATGAAATATATGAGAAACATTATTTACTGTCCTAGAAAGATGTTGAGGGTATTAATGAACAAGACATTATTGGTAAGACGTAACGTAAGCCATGGTTATAAGACACAGTGAGGGAGGGTACACTGTTGACACACTATTAATGATGACAAATTAAGAACTAGGAAATAATTTAGCTTCTACAGTAATGATTAAAGTATGAGGTAATATTTAGGCCTTGAGTGTGTATTATGAGCGACAAGTGACAGCCATGACGCGGTATTGGTAAGAACAAGACACACGCGGGCCTGTGACCTTGGCATTTGGTGGAACAACGATCAACACGTGGCAGTAACATTCTCGGCGATAAACAAGTACCATTATTACCTTCATATTACACGTTAAAATGGGTCTCGTCGTAGAGTCAACACCGTTTATTATGATTTATTACATTATCTAAATACGTAAACATCACGATTATGGAAAACACTTACTATGCTTTTGAGTCTCCCAAGAGGAAGTATTTGATGGTTATATATATTACAGTAAAGAGTAAAAAAAAAAAAAAGTGGTAAAATTGTAACAGAGTTGGAGGTTGGGTGATAAAGCGAGTAAGGACTGGGGGTGACTGCTCTGTACTCTTCGTTCACAACACACGTCTGAATTGATGTTACGGTTGAGATCAGTGAATGCATGCATGACAAGGCCGCTGTCCACCAGTTCTTGGCAGCCAGTGGGTGGTCACACAGAACTCAGACACAACCATAATTATTCTGTCAGTGACTAAGTGTTGTTTTCAGTTTTGCCAGAAACGGTCATATTGGTCACTGAATGATAAGTTTACGGTGATGTTCGGTTCTTTTGGCTGACAAGACGTTAACAGATATATTATAGAAGGTTAAAAAGGTTTCCTAAAGCTGTAAGAGTAATTTTTAGTTGTGTTGTCGTCAGAATGAAAGTGAGAGTGTGTCACAAGGGTATGACTGTGTGTTTAAGGACAATATGACTACAACACTAACACTACACTTGATCGCCTTCACTTCCTCAACTGTAAAATTAGGTACCTAGTCTCTCTCACACACACACACACACACACACACACACACACACACACACACACACACACACACACACACACACACACACACACACACAGGACAAAACAAGGCTCACCTTCACACAGATATACCACTACCCTTATCTCTGAGTCTTATCTCGCTGCGGGGATTATAAGGAACGTATTGTGTCCCAGTGATAAAAACATGTAGCTCCTCTCTCTCTCTCTCTCTCAGTGATATATACGTGTATTTTTCTTCTTCCTTCTATTCTTCTTCTTTGTGTTCTTCTTGTTTCCTTTCTTCTCCTTTTTCTTCTTCAACTTCTTCTTCCTCTTCTTCTTCTTGGTTGAATGTTGCAATGTGAAGAAGTGTGTTGATGCATGACTGTATTTTCGTCTATATTGTGAAAAGTGATAATTTAGTGAACCACATAACTGTACTGTGTGTGTGTTTGGGGTTAATGAAAAATAAGTGAGTATGTTTTTAATTATGTATATTTATGTATATTTGTGGATGTGTGTGTGTGTGTGTGTGTGTGTGTGTAATAAATTGAATCTCATATCACGTGTCTTTGTGTTATGTATTCAAATTATATTCTTTTACAATATGGAGAACTCTTGACACCTTTTACACACTGTCTGTTTATGTGTCTGTGTTATTCGTCCACACGTTGTCATAGTGGAAGAAAATGGTGACTTACAATGTTTATATAAATACACAAACAACACGATCTAGCTTCAATAAACGGCGTGGATGTTTACTTGCAATACACGAATGCTTATGAGCAACGTATGAATGTTTATTAATAATACGTGGATGTTGACTTGTCATATGCAGATGCCACCAGTAATGTATGAATAATTTATGAATGTTTCCTTAAAATGTATAGATTTTCAACAGCAATACGTACACATGTCCCCTTGCAGCACTGGTTATTCAATCTTAATACATAGTTCTTCACTCGTCATACATACACGCTTACTCATACACCCATGCATAACGATCATACAAGGAATTTCACTATTTTAGCATCTTGACGTTGTGGCGATACACTGAAGTTCATTTTTTACACCTGGATATTCACTAATAAATTAATAAGTGTATATCTAACTATAAGCATATTGGTTTGGTTAAGTAACGAGGCTGTTCAAGAAGATTTGGCAAGTTGTGTAAAGATAAGTCAATGTTTCTTCAGTACACAAGTAAGTACAGTAATTTGGTCTACCTTCACTACCCCAAGTGTTAAGACAGGTAGCCATTTACAGCTGGTTGAACTAAGGGTACATGAACCCGTGAACACTGTATCCACTCGGCCACAGCACCCCTCGGCCACAGCACCCCTCGGCCACAGCATCACTCCACAGCACCCTCGGCCACAGCACCACTCGGCCACAGCATCCCTCGGCCACAGCATCCTCGGTCACAGCACCCCTCAGCCACAGCACCCTCGGCACAGCACCCCTCGGCCACATCACCTTCGGCCACAGCATCACTCGGCCACAGCACCCTCGCCACATCACCCTTCGGCCACAGCATCCCTCAGCCACATCACCCTTCGGCCACAGCACCCCTCGGCCACAGCACCCCTCGGCCACAGCACCCCTTATACTGTATTACTGCTACTACACCATACCACCATCACTATACTATCAAGAATACACTATAATATTAGTTACTATATCAATAATAATACAGTATATCACCCCTAATAGAGAATCAGCTGTAATGCGCTGTAACACTGGTAATGGTCAATGTTTACTTGTAAGATATGCAACTTCATTCATAATACGCCTCTGTTAGCTCTCATGACATGGATGTTTATTTACAACAAGAGTATGTTCAGTAGTGGTATGTGGTGTTTACACTCGGTGCCGCGGTGTTCACTTCCAGTGTCTGGTTGTTCACTTGAGCCCAGTACCTGTTTACTCCA